TGCCATAATTTGTTAATTAAAAGATTAACGAGCTTGACTTGTATTTTTGAGCTGATATTATGGTAAAGTTATCTAAAAGATGGGTGTCATATGTTTGGACAGGAGCGCAATTTCAGTGCTTGCCATAGGCGCTATTTTCCGTAGATATGCCCCTACCTGTTAGACATCTCATATTCCTAATCCTGAAACTAAAGTCTCCCATAATAATTACCTCCTTGTGAGAAGCAACATTAATCTCATTGCTTTCTCCTATTTCATAAATAAGATTCACCTGTGGATACGAATAAGAAAAAAATTACTTTCTATATATATATATATATATATATATATAATTCCAATTATACAAAAATTCTCTATTCCAACCATTTTATAACTAATACTTATAACAACATTTACAATTTTTTTAAACCCCTTTTTTATAAATTCTTAGCTCCCATTAAGATCACATCACCTTCAACTTGTTTTAAACTATTATCTCCCATCCAATCCTCATTAGCTCAGCTCCCAACAACACTTACTGTACCCTGATCTCCACTACACAGCTTCTACAACTTACTGTTTGCTCAGCATTCACTAATGTTTATATCAGCATTAAACCCTTCACACCCTTCTAATACTCTTTTAAAGCAACTTGTTTAACAATCAGCTTTCATGCTTTTCACATTGCTACCTGATTTCATCCATCCAATCCCTTATGTACTATTCAGTCTCCAATTTGATTTCTAATTCTATCCACCTACTTAAAATTATCACCACATTTTGCTTGTGGTAACACTTGATAAAATCAAATTATGCACTCTTTCCCTATATGCCCTAACAAATCTCCTGTACCTCACAATCAGCAAGTCTTTTCTATACCATTAGCTCCTACATACATAATAAAAACAGTCGTTACATAACCATCATCCATGCTCCTGGATAACATAACTTAATGATTTTCTCTCAGTTAACTCCACACAATGCTCTATTCACATGCTTACTTAACAAATCCCCAATAATCACAGTCCCATCATAAAAAAGTTTCCCTCACCTTCTCCTCATCCATGTTGTTTAACTTTTTTGCAAGTACGTTTAACTCAACTCTCTCTCTTGCTCAACACCACAGAATTAGTAATTTCCACTGTCAAAGTGAACGTGTTTCTGGACATTGTAATTTGGTTTAAAATGACATAGGACATGTTTTAACCTCACAGTTTGAGTATGCTGTAAATATATTTTAATAAAATTGACCATATACATCTGGTTTGTCATAATCCACTTAAAACACATACTTTTCAATCTACATTTGCAAGGCATGTAATATTATAAATGTTGAGATAGCATAAGAACAATTGGTATTTTATATTATCTACAATCAACTGGTTCACCACAACTATCCTTCAAAAAATTTTACACACAAATCATATTCTTCAGAATATTTTTACATAGTGTGTACCTTTTACTATTGACTAAAATCTTGTTTGTGTTATAGTTATGTATACTTGAATGCTGAATTTATTTTCATAAATGAATAGATATTTAATGTTGGCTCAGAGCAAAGTATTAGGCTTAGTGACATAATGGCTCTCAATTAAATCTGCATGATAACTTTGCAGTAGTTTTGGTTGTTTATTCAGTTACAGTAGCCCCTCTTAAATATGACCGAACTATCTGCCATGAATAAAAAAAAAAAAAAAAGTTATCTGACAAGAAGTTGTCATTCAAAGGGTCAATAACCAGATAACAAATGACCAAGTTCAGTGGCTATCGCCAAGGCTTGAATGTAATGGTTTATATACTGTATAGGTAATAAGATGACATAGTAAATTGATATGATAATAGTTATGATAGACAACAGTTCAATAAAGATAACTTTTTATTGTTTTGTTTGTGTTCTATGTAAATTAATTTATTCATTGGAGTTTTTATTTTTTTAATGCATCTGCCCAGTCTTTATCCCAAACTGCAGTGGTGCCAGCATTTTCATTGCACAAGATGAACCATTCCCATGATGTCCCCTGCAGTAATGGCTCAGTGTCGTCTGTGGTGATGTCTTCTGGTGTGTCTGACAATGTCCTGTTTATGCATGCAAAATACTTTTGAATCAACTCTGGTTGGAGTGAGTCCCAGGCATCTTTCAAACAGTATATTGCATCGAGTATGTTGACCTGACCAGCAAGGTTGCTGGCATTTATGTCTTGGACATCTTCAGACGTATGTGAAGGAGAAGTTTCTTGCAATAGGTTGATATCAGTCTTTATGATACCACCATCACATGGTTGCAAGTGCAACATTGTGTTTGGTGGCAGGAACATAAGCTTGATATCTGAAAGCTTCATAGGTGGGTGCGTAAAATATTTGTCTACAAACATTACAACTGATCAGTTTTGTAGCCCCTTTTTGTTGTCAATTTTTGTCAACCAATTGCTAAAGATGGCTGATGTCATCCAGGCTGTCTTGTTTGCCTCGTACATCAGTGGTAATGATGATGTCTGAAATCCCATAAGACACCAAAGATCTGCAGATTGCTCAAAGACAAGAGGGGTCAGATGATTACCCATGTTTAACCAATTTCAAACAGTGCACAATTAGTTAGTGTCTTAAATTAATCACTGACTATCCCATGCTTAAACAATTTAAACTTTACAAGTTGTATCAGTTTTTTCTTGGATTTTACTTTAAAAATATGTATTATTAATATTCAGATTACTTGAGAAACTACAATTATGAAACTTAATTCTTTTAGCCTCCCCTAGAGAGTATACCGTTTGTCATTACAACTGGGTGATTAACTCCATTCATCAAAACATCTTATATATAAATATTGACTAATGTCACTTAAAATAATAAGATAATCAAAATTTTGATTAAATCAATTAATTTCATAAAAATAATCAAAAACTGAAATTAGTATTTCTTGTTATTACAGTTTTCAATCATTTCATTTAAACAATTATAAAAATATTTCTCGTTGTTATTTTTGATTAATTCTAGATTGTTCTGATTAATTGATTAGTGTCACTGTTCATGAAACTACTCATCTAACAGAAATTAGCGTTTCTGATTATTACTGGTTTTGATTTTTCCAACTATCCAAGTAATTGAAATATTGTCATAGTGACTTTTCATATCATATGTGCATTGGCATCTGCAGAAATTTTCCAGGAAAGGGGGAAGGGGGACAGAGTCAAAATACCAGGGAACGATAAACCCACCATCAAAGTTTTGTCATTACAGTCAAGAAAATAGGCAAGCTCCCACAGTCAGATTTGATGGGTTTAATATTTCTAAGGTTAGTTTAAGCCACACTGCAGACTTGTAGCTATATATAATCTATAATAATAAATTTTGGTTTGTTCATTTAGGTTCTTAACCCTATACATTAATTTCACTTTATACAAAACAACTACTTATATTTGATGACGAGGAACCCACTTTGATACTAATAATGGCTGGAGACGGTTTGAATGGGTTATGAAAAAAACTTTAATATAAGTTTAACATAACAGCAAATGTACAACGTTTGTACCTGATGATGACAAAACTTTGTCGAAACGTTGTACATTTGCTGTTATGTTAAGCTTATATTAAAGTTTCTCTTCATTACCCATTCAAGCTGTCTCCAGCCATTATAACTACTTATATGAATATAATAATTTGAGTTTACATAAAGCACAATATTTCAATGGTATTTACTGTGTATGTATAATACGAACAGCATTTATGACTAATATATTCTGAAACTGAAAATTCAAATTTCAATAGCTGGTCAGTATGAACAAGCCCCCTAACCAGGATGCACGGAGTAGTTTAAGGTTTAAAATATGCCTTTGAACATAATAACAAAAAACATCATTTTTTGAAAATCTTAATGCTTTTTTACAGAATTATCTTGAGTGTTTCTTACCTTATGATCTGATGTCTTCCAAGAATGTAAATGCATAGCTTATCAATATGATGTATCTTCCCAAAACTGAAGTAACTTGCTAGTAACAGGCCTACTACACATGACCTGACCAATGACACAGTGTTGTTCTGTTGGTGCTTATGACTTTAATACCTCTCTGTGTATGACACCAGCAGCAGGTTGACCCCAACCACACTGTCTCTTGGGATGTCTGCAAGACTGTGTCAGTCTCTTTGATAACCTGCTTGTATTACTGGCAAGTGGCAACACATTGACCCTGATCACACTGTGTCATGGCTAAGGGGATATCATCCAGACCACATCGGTCTCTTTGATGAGTTGAGTGATAATTTGCCATGATAGTGATTTTTTTAAATACTAAGCTACAGGGTAGGTATCTAGAGATTTTAAATAAAGCTGCTGACAAACATGGAAACGTTTATTAGAATTGAAAATTAAGTGTAATAACTGGTGTGAAATTGTGAAGTAGATAAAAAATATAAAAAAACTTATAAATTATGTTTCTCATTTTCTTAAATAAAATTTCCATACTTTCAGTATGAAGGAAAAAGGAAGAATTTCAATCAAAATTGGAGATTTTATATCTTGAGTATTTCTTAATGAATTGCCTCAAAATTTGGTATATGAAGTAAGGGTCCAGTAGAGCACATTCACTGAAAATATGCAATAGTTTAAATTACACAATATGCACTGCAGGTTGTTTTAGCTTGGCTGTATAATACACTACCACGTGTCTTGATTATTTTAAAACAAGTGGATTGTGTGCTGCTGCTCATTTATTGTTGAAATTTATCAAAGTCTTAGACACCTAGTGTAAAGAATCTGGCCCATATAAAAATCTGATAATATGTAAAGCTGAAGTTGTTTAAGCATGGGATAATCAATGATTAACTTAAAACACAACAGTGCACTGAACACCTGGAAGATGTTTAAATACGGTTAACCTCTTTGAATTACAATTTCCTTCTGTAAGCGCATGAGTATTTTATCTTCAACTGATTGCAAAATGTATATTTGTATTAAAATCCTGAATTATTTCATTCCATCTGCTGTAAGTATGACCAGAAATTCTGTGAATATGAGAAAAACTTACCACCACAACTTTCTTCATCAGAACCATCTCCACAGTCAATGTTACTATCACAACGTTTTCGAAAATCTAGGCATGTTCCATCTTTACACTGAAATTCCTGTTCTGAGCATATTCCTAAAAACCAACAAACAAAATTCATATATCATTTTTGTAAATTACTTCCCATCTACGACTATTTCAGTATAATCTTACTATGTATATAAATATTTTATCCTTTTTAAAATAAACTATTACATGATCTTATTATCACATATAATGAAAAAAAAAAGATTTTTTCAGGCAGTAAATTTATTACCTTGAAAGTAAGTTTTGTAGCAGTTGGCACGAAGGACTGTAAGAGTTAATCTTGAATAAAGAAATGAACAGATCCACAAAAGACGCAAGCTTTTTTTTTCCTGTCAAGTTAGTTGTTTAATGTATTGCATAAATGCTTTATTTTGTGTAGCTTTGACAAGAGCAGCTCATAGTTTTGTTATGGTTGAAGCCATAGCAACTACATTCTTTTACAATTTTTTTAAAATGGGTACTGATTTTTATTCACATATAGAAGTTAGTTAACAGAACTTACACTTTATTCTAACTCAAATAAAGAAAAAACAGAAATATAATGAAAAATGAAAAGTTGTACTATCTTAAAAAGCTTAAAATAATTTAGTAAAGTTCAGTTATATAAGTGAAGTATCAAGAAAAACAATTTAAAAGCTCAGAAATAACTAGTTGAAAAACAGCTTTTGCAAAAACAAACAACAACTAATAGAGACTCAGAGAATTACAGTCAATTTCTCATGAGGTTTAACAAAGTATGGCTCATTCTTTCTTTTTCCATTTTACATCTTTGACTGCCTTGTTAGAAGAAATTCAAGTGTTAAAAATTTCAGTTTAATATAATTTTAATTTTAAAATTAGCTATTTCACCCTTAAACACTGAGTTACATTCAAAATTTAATTCAACACCTTTGCTATCAGTGTACGCGAATGAAATTAATATTATATTGTTACGACAGCAGAAGTCATGCGATCCTGGGAGCATACACGCTGGAGTTTCTAGAAGGTTCGTGACTTACCAGACAACCTCACGAATGTCCCAGCATTTGCTAGACGCCCTCTTTTTTAGTATATAAGCCGGAGATATATTAAAGAGAGATAACTGAGTCAAGCTAACAGTAAATCGCTGTGACTTATAGCGCATTTTTATGAAAGTAGTTAAGTTAAAGTAACTGTGGAAATTAAGTGTATTGCAAAGTTGTATCGAGAAAGAATAAAGTAGTTTTAATTAAGAAAGGACTTGTATCGCTGAAGTTTCTATGGGAAATTAACAAACAAGCAGATACGTAACAATATGTTATGATTCAAATTTAAATGTTATCCATGTTTTAAGTCCTTTATTTTACAATAAACCTTTAAAAAGCTACTTTAAACTTCCGACGTATAGTCACGTGACCAATGAGCTAAGAAAATTCTCTACTTTGGCTCTCTCTATCTTCAATAATACAATGGTAGTTGAGTAGTGGTATGTCCAGATAATAAGATGCTTAGGTAACCTTTTGACTCATTCATTTCAAAGTTCTCTGAATGAATACAGTTTATACAAGTAAAAAATTTTCCAACCCTTGACAGATGCCATGCCCACCTTCAACAGATTTGTTTGAGCTTTATAGCCTAAATGTAGATGTTACATACATGTGTATAGTCATTAGAAAGAGCTCATTTTACACTGTAATCTAACAACAGTCACTTCCCTATACAAACCTTCATTTTGTCTTAGATATGTAGATGATGTTTTTTTCAGGATTTACATATCAAATTGAACAAACAAAAATTCCTTTAACACATAAACAACTTACACAAAGACATACAATCCTTTCTTACTATTAAAAACTGTGTATTTGAGAATGATCACACCAGTGATCAAAACATTGTACCCATTTTAAAAAATATTCCTTACTGTAAAAGCTGTAAAGTGTAATAATAAAAGAAAAAGCTCATAATCAGTAAGTAAACTCAAAATGAAACTATTAAGTTAGAATTTGTTTTGCAAATGTGAATAATTATAATACTTACCACATCCGACTTCATCCTCTCCATCAGGGCAGTCTGCATTCCCATCACAACGTTCAGCAATGTTCAAACATGTGCCATCTGTACAACGGTACTGATCAAAGCGACACAGAACTGGACCTGTGAGAAAAAGTATTATGCAGGTAAGGGTATACCAAAACTTTTACTTCAGCATTAATACACAAACCTAATTATTTTCCTTAATGTAAATACTTAAACCTTCTGAATAAACTCAAATAACTTTACCATTAAGTACTTGTCAGATAAGATAATTTTAAAGTATCATTGAACTTGCTTTATTACTAATTCTTGAACGACTTTTAAGTAACAAACTTCTTGAATTCTCTTAATTTTTTAATTCTCATAACCCAATTTTTATTTCTGAACAGCGGTTTAATAAAATGAACCTATAATGTCTTGTTAAATACTTCAGAAAACAGATGTAGTTCAAAAATATTAAAATTCAATAGTTCTCATAATAATTCTAGTAACGTTATTGGTGTTATGTAATTTCAAATTCACGTTTGTTGATTATTAAATTTCACTAGTAATAATATACTTTATCAACCAACCATCAGTCTTATTTCTCAAAAAATTAAATTAAAAAACTGTTTCTAATTAAAGTAATTTTATGGCTTAATATTATTTGAAATAAGCTCATGAAAAAAAATTTTCAGAAATACCAAAGTAAATATATTTTGTTAGTCAACTGCTATTGGTTAAGATACTAATTTCTGTACCAGCATTTGTGATAATGATTTTTACGTTTTCTGAAAACATTTTGGCAAAAACGATAATTGTTTATATTGTTTTACAAAACAGACTATATACATCAAGTAGTACTGGGAGTACAACTTTATATTTAAAAAATACAAATGTTCAATAATGCAATAATTAGTTTGATATATTAGGTTTAAATGTGTTATTTTTTCTGCTAACAGAATTGAACACTAAGTC